CACCAATCCCTTTCACTCGAAATGGAAGTAGGTTCAGCAAATATTGCCAGTGCTTACCAGTGATGAATTAATTAGCTACGTATTTTGTTTGGCTAAGTTTACCATCTGGCAGCCATTTAAGAATATTAATCTTCAGAACATTTATTTTATTCATTATTTGTCTATTGTCACAAATACAGCTAGTCGTTAATATTGAAAGGAGTCCTTTGATTCTCGAAAGACTCATAAGAATCACTGTTTATTCGTGGCGACAGCATGCATTTAGTAATAAGGTAAATTGTGGCAAGTGTACGTCTGATCCCATCAAGTATTACTGAGAGAAAATTGTCTTTATGACATAGGTTTCAACAAAATAGGTTCTCTATAACTCTTTTAATGTCTACCATTTTGATAGCTGATAGGATTTATTTGATAAGTTAAACGAATAAGACTCTCACGAAACCTAATTGCCATGTCATATATGGAATGCAATTTTTATGTTAAGAAAAATCTCGACTGTCTTAGATTAATAGTAGTGTACATCTAAGAGACAGCTGATTATTGTATAGGTTTGCTAAGTTAAGACTTGTTTATAAATGAAATGAGTGTAAATTGCCAATAATGAATTAATGAAGGGCTTAACTTTGCATTACATTTTATTTTGTCTAGTATCCTGTTGTAAGTACTGATCTGGCCTGAACGGTGTTAAAATTCAGTTCAGCCTTGGTAATAATGGTCAAGTAGGATATATTGTGAAACTAAATTAAATCCGAAATTAAGTATATACTTTACCTCCTTGTGGATATTTTCATCAAAGATTCAGTAGAAAAAAACAATAGATTTAAATAATAAAGTTCAGTATTATTGTTGGACATCAATGGAAAGTAAATGATCCTCTTGTGAATCAAAGTGGTAATCCTCCAATCAAGATTTATAGCCTAAGTCTTTTGAAGAAAACGATGCCTAGACTGAGATTAGTCGTGACTCTTTCAATTTTATTAGACTTTATTCAGTGGGGAACTTGTAAAGGCTTAACTTTTAGAACCAGAAAAATACAACGAATACTTACATGGAAGGTCAAAATAGATACTTAGGCATAAATGTTGCCGTCTCCTAGCTAAAAATGCATATCTAAAGAGAATAAGGACAGATCCCTCAAAAAGCATCGTTACACTACAAATAACTGGGTAGCATATTCAGTAATTTGTCTTCCATGGTCATCTGTAAGCCTTATTTGAAGATTTTTTAATTTTTTCAACTACGCTTATCCTTGATTATGTGAAGAGCTCCTCTTAAACTTTGCTTTTTGTCAAAATTTATCGATGCTTGCAATCAGCTTTTGTTGAGCTGGTGCTATGTAGATCAATACCATCGGTGTACAGTTAACCGATTTCTGTTGCGAAGTTCCTGTAATTTTGTAAATCTAAATCCTCTTTTTCGCATGCCTATTTTGGAAGCTCACAATGTCATAATACACATAATTCAAGACAATTTTGAAAACATCTCAGTATTAATTTGTTTATGTATGTAATGATTATGACTATCATGAAATCTTTTTAATTTTTCAAAAGAATTATCTCACATATAAATGACTAAATCGTTTTGGAGTAAAATTAAAATGAATATTTCTAAGTTTTCTTGAGGAGTGAAAATATTTCTCGCTTAATTTTATTTTCTCATTAGCTACATTATTATAATTTTTAACAAGCTTTTTACTGTACTTATAAGCTACAGTTTTTCTGTCTTTATCTGACATTCCAGCATTCCATTGTATTTATTAGAAAGTTTTATACTTTTTATTGTTTTGCTTTTGCATCTATTAAAAATCCTGGGACGAATATTGTGCCTGCTGGGATTTACAGACATTATTTCATCAGTCTAAGCCATTTTGACATATGGAAATCAATTGTTGGTTGGCTGAATGCTCTAAAATGTGAAAAAATGGATCGTGATTTGGCTTAAATAAGCTTGGTTTTGATAGACTGTGTTTAAAATTACCAGAATACACAAGAATAATCTTGCCATTTTCATGCTTCTCGATGTGATGACAATTCTTAATATTAAAATTTATAATTTATTTATGATTATGAGAGATAAATAAATCAGGATCAATATCTATTGGATTTAAGGGCTAGCTAGAACATTTTATTCAGATTTATGTTGCTTCGCCAATATCTATAAAGTCAAATATTTTACATAGGTAAGAAGACCAAGATGTTATGGCCTCTCTTTTGGTCTTAGACTATTTTTGATGCACAGAGGTGGTGAACCTCGTTTTCGCAACTTGGTCGTGTTGTTTGGGAAACTAAGTCAGACGCGCATTGTCACAATTCCCAGCTTTGGATCGTAGACTTGGTACATTTCTTTAAGAATTATAATAACTTATTTAAAATATGACTTGGGGAAAGGTGTGTCAAACTAAGTCTCCCTGACAACATGACTATGTTGTAAAAACCTAGTCAGACCATTTAATATCTTTTAAATTTGAGTCAAAGAGCCTTAAAAACCCTCTTTCACCTTGTTATGATAAATTTGCATCATAAATTAAATAGTATTCATTCAATTATTTATTCATAATATATAATAAAAGCAACACATTAAAGAGGTATCAGTTGATGATAGGAGAATATCTATATATTAACGATGTATACTAAGATGACTATATCAGAAACTAAGCCGACCTTAAAGCTTCAGCCTGTTGAAATTTTTTTAGAGACATTTGTCATTTTATTTAGAGTATTTTTAATAGAGGCATTCTAATTGTTTTTCTACTATTATATTTACGAGTACAGTTGCCAGAGGTGGCCGAATTTCTCCGAAATTGGACATCATGGAAGGCAGACACTGCCTCTTCCCAATATATTTTGCCGGTTCCTTACAGAGCTGCGCTAATGCAAGATGCAATTCATTTGCTCAGCAATGCAGTTGGCCAGGCGCTAGTGGAGCTAGAATTCAAGGCTCCAACATTAGAAGAGTCAGAAAAAGAAGACTATCTCTCACGAAAACCATCATCTTCGGTTCCTAGTTCTTTATCTGAAGACGATGCAAAAGGATCCTTTAAAGCAGGTGTTTCTAATCCAATTCTTGAAAGAGGCCGACTAGACAGGAAGGACTATGTCTTAATTCTAAATCGGGCAGCAAACCAAACAGCCGAATATGCCAGACAGGCCAGCTTTCTGACAACAGTTGAGAGCCAATCTTCAAGTAAAGGACAGAAATCGAATGATAGAAGCCGTCAAAGACAAAGGGATTCGATGCCGACCCAGAGCAGTGACCACAGACAAGGTGAGAATGGACATTATTGCTTTATATTCATTCATAAAAATGATGCAGAAAAAAACTTTGGAATTGTTTTCTTGGCACTTATTTTTGAAGATTCTTAAGTATTGCAACATACCGTGTTCTAAAGAAGAGTTCGATACCGTTTATCTTCATGCTAATTATAATGCAGGTGATGAGTTTATTTATGCTCTATGACATCCTATGAAATTGCATATTCACGATGTGCATACTAAATGGAGTAAAACAATTTAAAAACGATCCTGTAGGATATTTGAATATATGCCTATTGTATCGTATAAAATAGAAATAAGTTACTAGGGATCTTACACTCAAGAATTGCAACGAAGTTTGTCATGAAGTAAAAGGTTTTAGAATAAGAAAACATAATAAGTTTTTAAGTTGACGTGCTTAATAAGATAGCTAACTTCATGATTAAAAAAGCCGGGTAAGGCCAGTTCATCAAATATTTCGCAAAGATTCAGACGAGTATTTGTAAGTGGAAACTGCTCCCTGGAAGCATCATATATTTTTAATTTACTACCTTTATTACATTTAACTGAAAAACTTGGCACATAACTTTTCATCCGCGTTTTATCACTATTTGAGGGAATTTACATTAGTTTAACTATAATGACAAATTGTATTAAATATAAGCATTTCCAGTAATACATTTATCTCTAATTTAATAGGGATCGGGGAGATATTAATAATACGTTTTCACGGGTTTGTAAACGATAATAACTATTTTAAAATAACAACATGGTAAGGATCTGTTTTCTGATATTTACCATCATGTTTGTTTAGAAAATACGCCTTCACTTGCAAAACTTAATTATGTCAATGTTGAGATCTAAACGATGAAGGAACTTTGGTTTAGCCTGGATTAAATTTCTGTTTCTACAGGTAAATTACGCACTAATAATATGTAGAAATTAAGCTAGTGAAGACGTCTAAATTTACTGATATTAAAATCGTATAAAAACAATTTTATCCGGTAAGAAAATCTCTTTGCTTTATTTCCACATAGAACAACTTTCGTGGAACGATTAACGAATTTTTAAAAAGTACTACTTCTTTTGTGATTTTGCTAGAATGTAAAAACTATCTATGAATCTTTAGAAGAGTAGCTACGATAGATTTGGTGACTAAAACCATCTGGCTCTGATGAGTGAAAACTGTTTTTATTTTCTCAGACTTACAACATTCGTGATTCCATAATTTCTCTGGAATATAATAACAACTTAACTTTATGAATTCTTCTTAGGCTGGATTATACATTTATAGCGTCGGCTGTTTTCAATCGAACTGGCTTCTCAGTTAACTGTAGAAAGTTATTATGTTTCTGCCCGTGTATATTAAAATAGTAACCTCTGGCAAGGACATTTTTAAAAAGAATATTCGCAGTGTATCTTATCAGATTGAAGAAAGTAATTGTTTTGTTTCCCTGATGATGTTTAAACTCATGGCTTTGCACTATGAATAATAAAGTATAGTAGTGATTCCCAAACTGTGCGCTGTGGCGCTCCGGGGAGTAGTGGCCTCTTTACAGGGGCGCCGTAAAATAGTGAAAAAGCTTCAATTTGAAAAAATCTCTAGTGGTTTGCAGGCTCATCCATCACATTAATTATTGAATATTAATTTAATGTTAATAAAGTATTTAAAAAATAATGAAGATACACGAATTTTATTTATTTTATATCTTACTTACGAATAGTCATACTTAGGGTATGGCGCCGTAGATC